GAATTCGAAGAGTAGATTATTCGCCATAACATATTCTGTGACATTTGTTCAACCTTCATGACCACGTAGATTTCATAGTCAAAGCAACTTTTTTTTTTTTGCAAAACTTTTTTCTATTCGCACGCGCGCATCAGTTTTGGGGTTCCCAGAGGATGTCATCCATATAATCAAATCAACATGGCCTAACTGAAGCTTCGGGAGCCATACCAGATACTACAGTATGCATGCAGTATGGATACTATATCATCAATTTTGCATGGAAAGTATCAATGCTGTTGAATATTCGTTCCTTCTTATAAAGCTACAAGCAAAAGGAGAGTTAGTAAGTGAAATATCTTTAAGGCAAATAAAATGTAACATCACAATAAGTGAAGTGAAGTGAAATGTCGTTTGATGATTTGCAAGATGATTCTGTCAAATCATATATTTTCAAGATCTAAGTTGAACATTCAGCTGCAGTATTCTCCGATTGTTAACAAAGACACGGTTCTACGTACCTGTTGGCTGTGTGATCAGAAAGCAGGTTGGATCGTCCATCTGGTCGGGAAATACGTTGCATGAAAATGGTAAACTCAACCCAACAGGTGAGCATCTTGCGTTCATTTCCTCACAGGAACTTCTGCACAGCTGTATCTGCAGTCGAGAAGAAGTAATAAATGAATCACAATTACCTGTAATTTTGAGTAATGCCTATATATACTTAACACTGACATCAATTTATGAATGATATATATAAATGCAGGAGTATAACATGCACATTGCAACGGAATGGATACAAGTAAAGAAAAGGGTTGACTAGACAAAAAATTCAATATTTCTATGTGTAACAGTCAAATTTAATCTCCTACCTGCGTGCCATTGTCACACTGAGGCAAAAACATCCGACAAAAGGCTGTATAGACGTCTGGATAGCAGCTTGAAATGTTGTTTAGGACGGATCCGAAGAGGAAGTACTCTTGGGAGTTTATCATCTGCTGTGCAGACAGGTGACCGAAGGAGTTGGGGAATGATGTTGTGTTGTACCCGGTGAGAGGCTCGCAAATGTTCTGAAATACTTGAGGGAAGGGCTCGCAACCACCTGTAGAAAGGAAACAGGACACATAAAGCTGATTATAATGTAATAATATGATTATGAAAATCCTGTCCCTCTTTCTCATACAAATGAATATACAATTGTAAACGAAGCTGCGTGCTATGACTGGCTGGACCAAACGTGACAGATCTAGACTCAATCGCAGATGAGAAGACCTGAGACCTAGCCACAGCCTGGGAGGGGGCATAGGACAAAACCAAGGTAACCCTTACACATTTAATGACGTACGAGCATTTTGAACTTAATTCGGTATAACCGTCCTTGGGCGTAACGATCGGCATCGAAGCAATGCTAGAAGAAGTAGCACACAGTCTCAAATGTTCACACGAAGTACGCATCTACGCATCTATATCTTATCAGATATAGTCTCACGGCGTCAAGGCAACAGTTAACTTTACCAGATTCTGGCTCAAGACATTCCCCGTCACCCCTGCTCGGCAGATCTGCACAGCTCCGTGGCCATTCTTCGCCGATAGCCTGCAGTGGAGCTTCACAGCTGGCTTGGACTTCTTCACACAGTTCTCGGCATGGTGGAACCTGAGAAACGAGCAAGGGAGCAGAATTTAGGACACTTCATGTCATTGCCGCCAGCTTCGTGATTATGTAGAGAAAGCTTTGCTTTTGATGATGTGCAAAAGGGCTAAAACAACGTCATGTAAAAGCCTACTAGAAATGATGATGATGCATTTTATAGTTACACTAGCAGTGTCTAGATCTTCTCTTTTTATTCGTGTAGCACGTACCAGCTGGTCATCTTCGCACTTTGGAAACACTGTTGTACACATGAGGAATGTAAAAGACGGGTGGCATCCCGATACTTGGTTCAAAGCGAAGGCAGCCTGGACAGTTGATGTCTCTGAGGTATGGTTTAGGTAGTTCGGTAACGACGTGTTTCCATACGACAGGAGATCTGAACAAATAAACTGTGCTGAAGTGGGGATGGGTCGACATACACCTGCACAAAAAGAAAACAAAACGTGTACTATATAAGTGTCTTCAAAGGTGGTCAGTTTCATAAGAGAGTAGATGAATACCATTGGGCCTCGCAGGACAAGAATGTCACCCGATTGTAATCTATTGGTTTTGGAACACCGTAGAGAATATGATTTGTTTATTGAATGCAGCACGATGAAGAAAAGCAAACAATAGTCAAACGCTAGCTCACCGGGAGGATCATTATTCATGCAAATTCCTGGGAACTCGTCGAGGCCATTGCTGCAGTCTGGGACTCCGTTACAAGTCTTCACCCAGGAAATGCACTCTCCGTTAGACCCGCATGGGAATTGTGTACATGGTTCTGTTCATGGGAAACAGAAAGATACGTGCTTGATACATATTCTTGAAAAGCTCTGTGTATTACATTTAATCTGGCCTCAAATTCTGGTATTGTTCAAAGAAAACGTAGATGCATTTTGTACACCTTGTCTTAGATTAGGGTCCAAGTACGTTCTGCTTATCACACATAGAGAAAGCAAGTTGCGAGCATATCATTATATCTTGCACAGTAGCCTTTATACATAGCATATGATGTTTTCTATCCTTAAAATGATTTAGATGGTAATGATAGTACTTCAGCTTTAAGTAGCCCATATGCGTAATGTGCTGCTTTAGACAAACTAGCTCATTTGATCTTACCAGTGGTGGTGTTTGGCTGTTGAGTTGTAGCTGCTGCAGTAGTGGCTGTCATGTTAGGTTGTTGAGTTGTAGTTGCTGCAGTCGTGGCAGTCGTGCTAGGTTGTTGCGTTGATGTTTGTTCGGGTGACGCCGTTGTGTTAGGTTGTTGAGAGGCTGTTGTTTCAGAAGTTGTGTTAGGCAGCTGACTAGTTGCTGTGGACGTTGAAGCACTTGAAGCTGAAGAAGAAAGAGTTTAAGATTATTTTGCCTCAGTGTCAATGGGTAGGCTAGTTTCTCATACACGCGATTACCAATTTACTATAGCTGAAATTATTCTACCATTAGTGCTGAATCATGTTTGTTATTTTATTTGCACATGCATATTAAAGTACCAGTACAAAGCATTAAAGAACGGACATTCAGGAAAAAGTGGGTTATTTGTAGAAAAATGATCTTAGAAGTAAAGTACGCCTGAGTGTTATTGATAATGCCCAATACACATGTGTGGTATGTCTTGTTAGTAACACATTTGACTGTTCAATTCTTACTGTTGCTGACAATTCTTCATAAGGAAACTGTAAGGTTTGTGCATTTGTAGTTGCTGCATCAAATGCTGTTATGTCAATTTGTTCACCTGTGGTCGGTTCAGTCATGACTGCTGTAGCTTGTTCGCTAGTTGGAGGTGCAGCCGTAGTTGTTATTTCAAGTTCTGCCCTACTGGTTTCTTCGGTCATGACTGTTGTTTCAAGTTGCTCAAGAGTCGTTGGTTCAACAATGACTGTTGTAGCTTGTTCAGTGGTTGGTGGAGAAGTCATGGATGTTATTTCAGGTTCTGTACTAGTTGTTTCATCAGTTATGAAAGTTGTTTCAAGTTGCTCAAGAGTTGTTGGTTGAGCTTGTTCAGTGGTTGGTGGAGAAGTTGTGGTTGTTATTTCTGGTGCTGCACTACTAGCTACTTCAGCTATGACAGTTGTTTCAAGTTGCTCAAGAGTTGTTGGTTCTATAATGACTGTTGTGTCTTGTTCAGGGGTTGGTGTTGGAGAAGTCGTGGTTGTTATTTCAGGTTCAGCACCAGTAGTTATATCAGTCATGACTGTTGTTTCAAGTTGCTCAAGAGTTGTTGATTGGGCTTGTTCAGTGGTTGGTGGTGCTGTCGTGGTTGTTATTTCTGGTGCTGCACTACTAGTTACTTCAGCTATGACAGTTGTTTCAAGTTGTTCACTAGTCGTTTCTTCAGCCATTAATGCTGTAGCTTGTTCAGTGGTTGGTGGTGCAGTCGTGGTTGTTATTTCAGGTTCAGCACCTGTAGTTACATGAGACATGACTGTTGTTTCAAGTTGTTCAATAGTCGTTGCTCCAGCTATGACTGTTGTAGCTTGTTCAGTGGTTGTTGGTGCTGTTGTGGTTGTTATTTCAGGTCCCACACTACGAATAACTTCAGTTGTAACTGTTGCTTCAAGTTGATCAAGGGTCGTTGGTTCAACAATGACTGTTGTACCTTGTTCAGTGGTTGGTGGAGAAGTCGAGGTTGTTATTTCAGGTTCAACACCAGTAGTTACATCAGCCATGACTGTTGTTTGAAGTTGTTCACTAGTCGTTGCTTCAATCATGTCTGTTGTCATAGATTGTTCAGTAGTCATAGATGTAGTCGTAGCTGTTTCTAATAGGCCTGCACTGGTATCTGATACGGCCGTGGCTGTCGTGTTAGCTTGTGGACTGGCTGACGTGTTTGCATCTGTCGTCAACGTCAATGAAGAAAGAGATGCATAAAGAAGATAATAGAAGGCAGTTTAACGAATCTTTGCACAAAACGGCTTACACTACGACTAGCTACTAGCATTTAAGATGAAGATCAAGTTCTCTGCAAAATACCTAGAGAAGAAAATGCCAATACCGATTCTTAAGTACTTCAATATGTGCAGAGCTAGCTAGCTAGCTAGCTAGGTATATACATAGATAGATAGATAGACAGAAATACAGACAGACAGATAGATAGAAGAATCGTAATAGAATGGGAATCAGGATGATTTACTTCTTTAAAAGTTATTGAAAAGTTGCCCACATAACAATATTAAGAAAGAAGCCCTGGTCCGGAACACCAACGTTATCATCGCTGTAGAATGCTAGAGCCTCTTTGGGTACAAGGGAGAGGGATATAGACGGTGTGAGAGGCTTAGAGGTGACATAGAGTTAGGCAAACACAGTCATAGTCAATGAGAAGGCAACAGCCACTGTAACACCTTATGCCACACAGTTCACGTCATCAGCCATTACAAATAGCCATCCAATTCCATCATAAGACTTCGAAGAAAAAGGAGACACGGTTATTAGTACGGTATTCCTCCGTTAGTTTCCCCTCGTTATGTCCTGTGAGTTTGTAGCATCGGTCAAGTACCGGGAGAAGTTGTTAGTGCGGGTAGTGAGGATTAAGATGGGGAGCTGTTCCTGATGCTGAGATGTAGATGTGATCAACCCATCGCCCATGCCGTTTTCAGGTTCATAATGTATGTGTTTCTCTATCATATGTCCAGTACGTTTTAGCAGTTGTGAAGAGTTAATCAGCATGTACCACGACATTAATTTAATATATAGAAGCAAAGAAGACCTTCCTACATAACTTTCAATCCCACCAACAGGCAATATTAGAGTAATAAAATCACTGTATGATATGATCAACATAAGGTAAAATTGTTCTGAATACGTCAGTCTGTTTGGATTACAGAAAAAAAAAGAAGAAGTTTACACGTGGATGTCCTTGGCTTTGATATGGTAACTGTAGGATGAAAGAATGTGTCATAATATTGTCTTGGGGAATAATAATGGACATAGACCAGATATGAAGTATGTCTTTACCTGATGTTGATGATTGCAGCGTGGTGTTGGGTGCTGTCGATACCTCTGGAGTTGTCGTTGGAATCGTAGAGCACACTATTGTAGTAGCTTCAACTGTGGTAGCTGCAACAGATGCAAAATGGCATCAAACTCTATACTGATTTCAGTTTACATTTCCCTGTTTATGTTACTTGTATAATTTTGTACAAATTGTATCATGTTATGTTTCCCTGGGCCCTCTTTGAAATCAACAACTAATTTTAAAACAGTTATTCAACATGAAATAGATAAATAAAACAGCAATTTTGCAATGGTGTTTTGTGCACATTGATTTTACGTCAACCAACAAAGCATCTAGTAACCAACAACACTATCAAGCAAATTTACAACAAGACAAAAAAATGATAGAAGCACTTTAGCCTGATAACGACAAGAATACGTTAAATTTAAGATATCATAACCATACAGGCATAAGTACTCACGAGGCTCTGGTGTTGGTGGCACTAAAATGTGAAAAATGGGAACAAAATTCATTAAGTATCTTATAACGACTGTAATACAAGTCCCTAGCTAATGAAACAGAGTTTCCAATAGAAAAGGTCCTGTAGTAGTATTGCTAAACATCAAAGAAAGTATTTCTCTTCATATTTTAAAGATCCTTGTTCCGTACTAACGTACTGAAGTACAGGCTTTTCGCAATTCGCGACAGAATAACTTCTAAACTATAGGAAAAGGTTCATACATCATATACAATTCCTTCTGTTGAGTATCAACACTGTGCGCACACAAGCTTAAGCAAACTGTAGTACTTACGTTGTTCACAGATGAACCTGTTTCTCGTGGTACAGTCTTGGACGGTCCAGTCCCATTCGTTGGACTCTCCGAGAGCGACGCAAGTGTTTGGCCTCTGTGGGCTGCCGGTGTTCTCGCCATCTGCCCACGTGTCGAAACTTGAAAGTGTTGTTTGATCGTTGAAGGTCCATTCATCATTGCTGTACGATAACCAAAGTCTCATTAACATGACTCGAACAGAAATTTAAACATATATCTGTATGTTGGAAAATATTCCGGCTCTACTGGTACAATTTTTGAAAATGCATCTCGACTTTTTAAATGTTAGACATGTGTAGTTAGGTTTCCGCTAGAGTAGATAACATAAGCCGTATGGGCGAGTAGATTAGCCACTTTAACATGAATATAAACCATTTCAATGACTAGACCCTTTAGTACACTTTATTACAAATAAATAATAATAAAAAAAACATAAATTTAATGGCTCTCAGTGGCCAATGTGCAGATGCTGTCACATCGGCGCACCAAATCCGTAGGGTGCTTTTGGCACCCTGACAGACAGATTAGTCTAAGAGGCTCGGTGGGTGTCACTGTACAGGTGGGGAAGTCGTGTAAAGTGCCCTTCCCAAGCGCACAACGTCGGGCCACGGTGAGTATCGAACCCGGGACCTCTCGGTTCCGAGTTCAACGCTCTAACCGTTGCGCCACCAACGCCACAGTTTATTACAAATCTGCGTGAACAAACCTATAAGACAGCCCAATCCAGAAGTCGTTCCCAGAAATCTGGTTCCTCTCCAGTAGACGGACCAGGAGGGCGTGAATGCCGGCGTCCTGATCCAGAACAGCCTCCGCGCTGTAGTTAGCGCACCTTGTGTTTAAGTAGTCGTTAAACCCGTCCCGGAAGGGAGGAATCAGGTAGCATTTACCGTTATACAGAGCACTGACCACATCAGGGTCACCAACGTAGCAGGCTGGAACACATCGAAAAAAACTTAAAATTGTTCAAGGCAGATTTATTGAACTACAAAAAGACAATGCAACATAAGAAAACAGCAGCATACAACCAAAATGGGGCAATACTCACGCGTGAGTGGTATTTCTGTAAAAAAAAAAGAAGAAAAATACAATCAAATATCTTCGTTGATTTTACACACTTCCTCTCTACAGGCCCATGCAATAATCCCTGACTAACTATAATGTAAAGCTACCACAGCAAAGTTAAACACGTCTAACATCACTAATACTAGGCAATTTAGTGACGAAATAGGAGTTTAATAGGAGCAAAATAGTTCCATTTACCCTTCTGGCAGATGTAGTTGTACTTGTCCAAACAGCCTTCGATGTCCCAGTCATAGCTAGGCGGCACCATGGCTACGCATCGGCGGATCTGCGTGTAGTTCGTTTCGTCGACGCCGCTCCCCCACTGGCTGTTCTCGTCCTCCAGCAGAAGGGTCCCTGCGTCGTCATAGACCCAGTTGCCGTTCTCGTTGGCGATGCCTATCCAGTAGGGCTGGGAGTTCCCAAGGTAGTGTAGGTGTGTGGCCAGGACGTGGTGGGTTATGGGGCTCATAACCTTTACCGCCTCGTACCCAAGGCTGATACAGTTGAAGTCGTGGAAGTCCAGGAACTTGCTTGTTCTCAGCGAAAAGGTGTAGCAGACGTCCCGATAGGCCACGCTGGTGTTGACAGGGTGGTCTTGGTCAGTCCCGTTAAAACAACCTGAAAGCAATGCAAAACGTGGTCATAATATAGCAGGATTTTTCATTGTAAAGTTGACTGCTGTGATTTTAAGCAGATGTAGGTCATTGGTGACCGAGTGACAGGAGAAAGGGCATGAGTTAGAGACAGCCGGATCTTATCGATAAGCCTGTTGGGTTCTTTAACGTGCAGGGGTAAGGGATACAGTAAGGGATAACTTACTAATCGCAACATAATGACACTACTTATCATTGTGCAAATGTTATCGAGTCATATTGATAATATTACGTATCTAAAATCATTTTTATTACGTAACGGAGATGACACATGTACTTACTTGGAAGCTCGATACCTAAATGAAGAAAATAAACAAAGCATCATTAGAATCGCATTTAAAGCAATAAAGAGGATAATATAGTAGCCATTGTATCTTACAGGTAGCTCTAGTTCGCTTCTACGTTCGCTTCCTTGCTGAATATTTATACAAGGCTACCCAACATCCGAATTTCGTCTATTACGAGTCATACAGCTACCCAACATCTACATTTCGTGTATGAGAATCATTCTTCTTACAGGTACCCAATAGGTACATTTCGTCTATGATGAGTCTTACAGCTGCAGGTGGCAATGCATGTCAAAGTGACAAGGCTGTTCTTTCTTTACCAAAAGCAAGAATCAGGAATTGCGAAAAGTATTCAAGACTTCACTCACGTTTTTGGCAGATGTATCTCGCTCTATCCACGCAGTCCTTGATGCCCCAGTCGTAACTCGGCGGTACCATGGCAACGCATGGGCGGCTGGTTGTCTGCGTAGGGTTATCAGGATCGACCCCGGTCCCCCATTGGCTGTTCTCGTCGTCAAGCACTTCTTGCCCTTCGTCATCGTAGACCCAGTTCCCGTGCCTGAAAGCTAGCGCGATCCAATGGGCCTTGGATCCTTGTTCACCATCAAGATACTGTAGCTGTCTCACGAGTACATTGTGGACATCCTCGCTGGTGACTTTGACAGGCTGCAGGCCCAACGCGAAACAGTTGGCATCGTGGAAGTCCAGAAACCCTGAGTTTGCCGAGGAAAAGGTGTAACACGTCCCTGCATACTCCACACTGTGACTCACGTCATCGTGGCTGAAGCATCCTGAAGAAATCAAAAGGAGAAAATCATAAGAAAAGTCAAGACGAAGATTGCTGCGCAACTGGTGATGCTAGCTACCTTGCCCAGTGCCATACTATATCCTAGCGTGCAATACAACTTAGTGAATGTTTGTATGATAGTACATGTACTCGTATCTAGTTTGTTTATATAGCATCTGAGGACCGTTAACAAATATATGTCATTGCGCTAAATATATTTCAGTGACTATAGCAGTCGAGATGCTGAGATGTCTGCCGATGTGAAACTTGATCAAGTATTGGCTGAGGTGGTGGAGTATGTTAACGGTTTTACCTGTGGATGTTGGCGTGTCAGCCGCTGATGTGGAAGATTGCATCGGCGATGCTGTGGAGTTATTCACAACTGCAACCGGAGTACACACTGTGGAATTCATGGTGGAAAAAAAATGAAAATATCAAAAGTACAATTAAGACTTCAAATCAGTGTGTGAGTGGTGTAAAACGTATTCGAATTAATACAACAGCAAACTAATATCATAGTATATATGTTGTTCACCTGTAGCCACAGTAGGTTGTTGAGATGTAGCTCCTGCGATTGTTGCTGTTGTGTTGGGTTGTTGAGTTGTAGTTGCTGCAGCCGAGACTGTTGTATTAGGTTGTTGAGTTGTAGTTGCTGCAGCCGAGACTGTTGTATTAGGTTGTTGAGTTGTAGTTGCTGCGGCTGATGCCGTTGTGTTAGGTTGTTGAGTTGTAATTGTTGGGTTTACTACTGTTGTGTTAGGTTGTGTAGTAACTGTCGCGGTAGTAGTAGCAGTAGTTGGAGGAGCGGTCGTTGTGTTGAAACTTGCCGGAAGCTCTCCTTTATGTCGAGATCAAGAACAATAAGTGCTTAAGTTCATAAACAAAAAAATGAATACCTTTATTCATAAAAACGTTGACATGTTACTCATAACTTAGGGTTGGGACTTATTCATGGTCATGTAACGGACTCAAAAATCTTTATACAAAAATACAATAGAGAAATAAAATAGAAATAATGAAAGTTGCATCTTAACATAAACGTGTGCTATTGTCTGATATCATACCGTAATAGACTAGTTGGACAAGAACTGCCGACAGATCTCCAAAGTCGCTGTATGGGGGGTTGTCTTGTGAACTGTTGGCGACTGTTAACAGGTATTTAGCGTTCTCCAGGGAGGTGAGGTTACTCGTCAAAACCGACACATGTGCACGTACGCCATTTCCAGGAAACTGCGTCAAGTTACTTGAAAAAAAAAAACAGAACCGTTGTCAACAACAACAACAACAGAACTGTTATCAACAACAACAACAGAACCGTTGTCAACAACAATACCAAAAACTATGTAACACGAATTCTGTTATACCCACTAGTATTACTAATGATTTACATGATTCTTTCGACGTTTTTCAGAATGTCAATAGCTTCTGTAGTGTTCCCTCCGTTTTCTAACATCAGTCTATCATGTGTTTGTATATGCTGCCTCTACGGCTACCGACTAGCTATGGGACTGATGGATGGATGGATGGATGGATGGATGGATGGATGGATGGATGGATGGATGGATGGATGGATACAAGCTAAACTGGTATAAGATAAAGTAGTATCAGATACCTGAATGAGTCAACAACGACGACGGTAGTGAGGTTCACCAACACAGCGGTGATCTGAGTAGTAAACGTATAAGAAGAACTGTCAGAATACATGTTAACTGCACTTATGTTTTTGATTTAACACAAATTCAATACGTCACCTCAATTGTGACAACGTGGTCTGTTCAACTTTACCATGCAGCAATTCACATTGAGATACTTCACATGCTACACGATATAACGTAAGTTGCACAATGAAGTACATGTACAAAATATTAAACTTAAAGTTAAAGTGCTCCAGTTCTAAACCTGGCAACTTAGTCCTTTAATTCTATGCACCTTTTAAAATCCTAGCATGCACATCACATGCCTTCTGTCAAGATATGATCAAACAAACAAGGTGCTCCAGTTCTGAACCTAGCAACTTAGTCCTTTAATTATATGCACCTCTTGACATCCTAGCATGCACATTACATGCCTTTTTGTCAAGATATGATCATACGTACGTTGTTAACTACGGTGTTTTGAAACTCGAAGTACTCTGTACTGTTCGATATGGACAGATCTTCACTCCATGAACGCACATCAGGATCGATGTCAAAAGTTGCTTGAAACAGATGATCTACAGAAAGTGGGATTGATTTGATTGTGAGAGTGAAACCTTTGCACTGTGCAGCTCAGGTTCTCACAAAGTCAACAATTTTTTATATATATAACGGCCCCTTGCACATGGCTAGAATTGTAGACAAAAAAGGTCACTATTTACAAATACGTCCACGCAACGTATGATCAAAATATACATGCAGCTGAGAAAGAGAGGGAGAGGGGGAGAGAGAGAGAGGGAGAGAAGAAAAGGAGAGAGGGAGAGGGAGAGAGGAGGGG